CACCAGCAGAAGAGAGACACGGTGAACTTTAGTTTTGATTTAAATTAATGGGAACTCAAGGAGAGAAAATCCTTCCAGGGCTTCAAGCACAGCGCAAGGTTGCAAGTGGGGGCCCGCGAGCCGGCGTCTGCCCGCTGTGATAGCTCCACTAGCGCGCACACGCGTTTATTTGCAGAGGACGCTGGAATCTTTAGACACATAAATACTTCAATTATAGGGATGCCACCCGGCTACCAAGCTTGGGGTTCCACTCTAACAAACTCATTTTTCCCTTTTCCATTCTTTGCGGTCACGGCCTGGAGCAGCACAGGACCCTGAGACAATCCCAGCCAGGAAGGAGCAGCCGTGGGAAGGCAGACCTGGGGTCTGTGGGGCGGTGGGCAATCAGCAAACAGTTTTTTGAAATGTCTTAACGCGAGCAACGCACTCAAAGAGGGAGAATGCCCCAGACAACAATTAAGGGAGGGACTGCTTCCAAGGGAAACCAGCCGTAGCTTCTTAGGAACAAGGGGTGTGTGTAGGGGGGAGGGGGTCCAGGCCCTGTCCCGGCCCTGGGAGGTGGAGACACTGACCTCCTCAGATGAAGAGAAGGCAGGGGAGGGAGGAGGCGGTGGGTGGGTGGTTGGTGGTGGGGCCTTTCCACGTGCCTCTCTGCTCTCACACAAGGCTCTCTGTTCAGTGACCTACCCACACTCCTAAAAAAACAGATGCAGAAGTGAGAAACACCTGTTTGGGAGAAATCAAGCTTCTTGTTTCCTCACCATATTTATTACCCCCAGAAAATCAGGCTCAAATAATACCAACGCTAATAACCTGAATTCTTGGGAAGGGAGGTGGACAGGGGAATCTGGGCATTAAGTAATGATCCAAGAAGTCCTGATCCAATAGAAAGCAAATGGATTTGAGGACAAGAGGGAGGCCGTTACTGCAGAAATGTTCTGGCACCACTTGGGATGCTGAGACAGCTGTGAGGAGAGAGCCGATTAGCATCGCCTTCAGAATCCAGAGGAGGAGAGAGGCGGATGAGGACCTGCTAGGCGAATCAGCATCCTTAAATAAGAGACGGGAGTGTAACGGGAGCAGAAAGGATCCTAAGTGGCTCATCCAGGCTGCGCTGCAATAACGTGAGTGTTAAATATACACCAAGGGAGCTAGGGAGGGAAGGGAAAACTATAAATGAAGCCAGTATGGTCTTAGCCACTGCACGGGCATCGTACGCGCTGACCCTCAGGTTTGCTTTGAAACAGACAAATGACAGTACTGTTTTCAAAGGTAATATGCTAGAGCGCGTTGCAGCTCTATCCGAATTCCGGAAACAGTGCCTCCGTGCGCAGGGGGTGGAGACCAGGCCTCCTCCTCTCCCCGCGGAGGGGCAGCCGGCCCCAGGGAGCACCTCTCCTCCCTGGTGAGGACGACTTCCAGATGTTGGGCTGGGCAGCTCCAGTGCCGCCTCCTCCAGATTGCCAGCCTTCTCTGAATTTCAAAACGTATATTTGCTGCCTTTTCATGTGTAGTGTTTATTTTCCCAACCAGATCACGAGTTCTTTAAGACAGAGGAGAACCCCACCCCTCCGAACACCCTGCAGTGCAACCACCCCATCCCTCCCAGGTCCTGTTAGGTAAGAAACAGCCATTTCAATGTCTGTGAGTTACCAGGAAAGCTAGCATTTTCAGTCAGTAACAAGGACACACATGTGTACGTGTTTGAAGGGAAGACAGTATTCTGCACAGCGGATGTTGATAAAAAAATAACTGTCGTGGAACCATGCTTCCCAAGGCCACTCAAGCGGGGTCTGCAAGGAGGACCATGATGAAGAGCAGGCGTCAGGATTTCCGTTGTCCTGCTGCAGTGCCGCCCCTGCAACTGCAAGACCTCCACCCCCGCCCCAGACCCTCTGAGTCCTCCCTGGGGACAGATTCATAAACAAGCTCTGCCAGGCCACGAAGCACCTCCACCCACCCCTCTCCCTCCTGCAGCCACCTCCCTTGGCCCCTGGCCCCTGGCCCCTGGCCCACCGGTACCTCTCGGCAGCTGGGAGAATGTCCCACGCTGCTTCCTATTAGAGGGTGCACGTGTTCGCGCCAAGGGCGCTGCTTCTCGCTCGCTGACCGCTCTCAGTGTGGGAGCCCTGCTGGCTGAGCTGCTGACCAGGACGAGGACGAGCACAGACTGCCAGCCCTGCAGGCACCCCGCACGAGCCGGGAGCCACCTGGAAGGAAGCCTCTCTCCTGTTTGGTGCGTTAGCCTTTCAGATGGGTCCCTGCAAAGCTGCAGGTCTCCCCCACCCCAGGGAGATTTCAGGAGGCAGTCCTTGGCCGTTGCCATTGTGTCGTGGGCTTCCCTCCACGTGGGCCATGGAGCTGGGCAATGAGAAGGCAGCTGTGGAAATCACTGTGTGATTCCACGAGCAGAATCCCCTCCCCCACTCTTCCGTCACCCTCGTCCTGGCGTTTCTGCTGTTTCCCACTTTCTTGCCTTGGGGTGAATTTGTTTCCAGGGTGCTCTGCTGGTCTTCCTGTCCAGGGACCACCCATGGATCCTCCAGGGTAGTCTGAACCTTTGAGTAAACATCATTTGGGTTCAAAATGAGACCCACCCACCCTATGGCTTTTCTTTTACCCTTACCAGCTTATAAGGACTATTGCTTCACTCAGTTCTCACAGGGTCCAGGGAAATCTGCGACCTTATTTTATTCTACTTTGACAGATGAGCAAACGGAGAACCAGAGAAGTTAATTGGCCTGACCAAGTCTGCATAGCTTTAAGTGGTGAGATAATGACGTTAAGTTCAGGTCTGATTCCAGATCAGGTGCCTTTTGTACCTCAAATTTTTACTTAGTTTTGATCTCTGATAGGGAGCTACAAAACTGATGCGAACTTGTTTCCACAAAAGGGATCAGAGAAGTCAGCCAATTTGGTTATCACGTCTCTTGTCTGTCTTTCAGTGGCACTATAACCACAATAGTGATGGTTCTCCAGAACCAGAATGGATTCCTAAGAAGCAGAGGTCCATAGCTCAAGAACCCACATAGCGCTGAGGTCCCGTAGGATGGTCCCGTGAATGACGCGCCATCCTGGTGCTGTGGCGGGACGACGCACTGAGAGGGTTCACAGTCCGGGAGCACAGCTTCTGCTCGTGAGGCTGAGAGGCTGCTGCACCTGCTTCCACCCTCCCTCCCCCTCCTTCCCTCACAGGTGCCACATCCAAAGCATGCGAGGGTTTCATGTCGAATAGCATCCAGCCAGACAAGGTTTGGTCCTGGGGGTGACCCTAAGGGACTCTTTGGAGGACATTGCTGTCCCCAGATTTTAATGTCAAAGCTCAAAGTACAGAATGGAATGGGCAGCTCCTCAAACCTTTAAAACTCCACCATCATGAAGTGGTCTTTCATCTTGCGCTCCGGAAACCAAATCTTCATGCTTTGTTTCTTCAGAGGTGTTACGTTCAAGGGACAAGGTTATGCATGGTTTGGGGTTTTGATTTTCTAAGTCTTCAGAGAGAATCACAAGAACGGCAGTTTTCTGTTTCCCCCATGAGATGAGACGGCCACCCCCGGTCCTGCACCCGACAGCATCTTTCCGGGTGAGACTCATCTGAGAGAGACGACCCAAATGTCCAGGGATCTACATGGCAAGACAGAACCGCAGCCCGGGACCCTGGAGGTTCTCTACAGACTGAGATAGAGAACATTTAACTGATTAACTTTCAATTTATTTTTCAGCACTAAATAAATGTTCAGTCAGGGGAAGCAATTTTCAAAATGCAATTTGCATGCACTACAGGGCTCCTACAGACTTTCAGAATGTGAAGAGGTTTCGGAGTCGGCCTCATCTGTACCCAACGTACAGGGAATTTCAGATGAACCACAGCCAGCACCAGGGCAAGATCCAGCCATAACTAACTCCTGTGCAGGTCCCCTCAGTGCCAGGGAGGCTGTCCTGTGGGGAGGAGCCCGCACCCCCACAACCTTGGAAAATGGGAAATAGAGAAGGTAGCCAGCCAGGAATAAATCCAAATCAAATGGATGAGGATGGTAACAGTGATCACTTCTTGAATAGCATGCTAGACACTAGCTGAGGCTCCCAGAGGGCCCTTGAGTAGCTCTACAGGGTGGCGGGGCCGAGATCCCAGCCTGAGTCTTTGCATCATGTCCCTCGTCTTCCTTGAGGTCAAGAGCCCAGAGCCCCCGAGTAACGGCCGCTGGTACCTGGCTTCTGCCCTGTTAGCACCTTCAGGTCCAGATGAAATTTAATCAGGAAATGATGACATCCTTGCCAGTACAAAAGCAGGAGGCCGACAGAGCAGGCCTGGCAGTGACCCTCGGGTCATCCTGACTCGTCCCCTGCAGGCTACTCTGTCGACTGGCAGTGCCCACCCCCTTGGCAGCCCTGTGCCTGCAGATGCCTGGCCCCTACCCGCACACTCCAGCAAAAAGATGTCTGTTTTGCAACAAAAAAAAAAAGAAAGAAAGAAAGAAAGAAAACATCTTCTAAAGTGCAAGCTAAGGGTCTGGAGCCTCACTGGCAAAGCTCCCATTTTAAAATTAGGTGCATTTGAAAATCTTGCACGACGTAGCCCATTAAAAGAGAGCTTTTAGTCACACTGCTTTGAAATGAATCTCCTTGTGTCCAGTGCTGTTGAGGTCAAACACAGCTGATTTAATCCTGCCTGTAGCCACGGCTGGTAAAACCTTATTAATGCCCACTCTCTTCATTTGGAAGTTGTTGGTGTATGTATACACCTAATTTGAGCAGGGCCAGAATGCCATGTGCCTTTGAACTGTCTTTGAAAAATGAATTTGCTAAGCACGCGGTATAATTAGAATGACACAGAAAATGCTCCCCGAAAATACATTCAATCAGTCTCATTGACGAATTAAAGACTTGCCTACAGACATCTGCCTCTTATTCGTCTCTTGCTCTGCATTGTTTAAAGCAACACATAATTTAATTTCTTTATAAACGTTCGAATATAGATTTTTTTCCACTGGCTGTTTTTGTTTTTGAAATCAAATAGAGGATTTATTTCAGAAGGAAGTTGAAACAGTGATCCAAGACCGTGCTGGCAGAGCGAGGTGTCAGGAGGAAAGGGGTGATGGAGACCGGGACACAGTGGGGGGAGGAAGGTGGACGGGGCACAGGGGCTCAGCCCCCACGCTTGGAGACTGACCGCAGCACCTCGGGGAGCAGGGCTGGCTGCCCCGGTACGTGTGGGGTATAGTCTGTTTGCGCCAGGCTGTTGGAAAATGCCCTCTGAGTCCCCTCCAGTTGATCACAGCTCCTTTCTTGGCTGTAGGTTGGATGACATTTTCCTTAACCTTTTTAACAAACATAGGGTGAGGACCACACTGTTTGGCTGAAAGACTAACTTTCAGAAGAAAAAAAGTGGATAGAAGGGGAATTATTTTGGAGCCTTTGGCAAACGTCACTCATCACCAGGATTCCAAAGTGCAACGTAACAAGCTCAAATTAAACCCGGGGCGTCTGGGGAGACTCCGTATTTTGGACTAAACAGCCAACTAAGCACATTTCTATGGACCAAATGCAATTCCTTTTCCCATGGCTGCACGTGTGAGGGCCCTTTCCAGTGTCTCCAAGGGGACGGAAATGTTCTAGGACTGGTGTCTGAAAGCTCTCGGGCGTGGAAGCATGTGCTTCCCCCAGGCTCCTCGGGGTCCCGGGGCCTCTCGCACGTGGCATCTCTGTTTTCCTTCTGAGTTGGCTCCACTCTCCCCTCACCCAGCCGGTGTCCTGAGAACTGGCAGCTTCCATGAGGGGACCCCCAGTCAGAGTCTTCGTCATGGGTTGAGCGTGTCTTCCCAAAACTCATATATTAAAGTCCTAACCTCCTCGCCCTGCAGCTCAGAATGTGACCTCAGTTAGAGACAGGGTCTTTAAAGAGGTCATGAAGTTAAAATGAGGTCACTAGATCAGTGTCTTCGTCAGAAGAAAAATAATAAACAAGCAAGGAGGGAAGGCCACGTGAAGACATGGAAGAAGATGGCCGTCTACAAGCCACGGAGAGAGCCTCGGGGAAGCCAACCTGCCCACACCTTGGTCTCGGACTTCCAGCCTCCAGAATATTTCTGTTGTTTACACCACCTGGTGTGTGGTTGCTTGATCCCAGCCAGTCTGTGTAACATCCCGTCTGTTACAGAAGCCCCACAACCTCACAGTCTCCTGGAGTTTCTACCTCAGCCTCTCAGAACTGGTGCAGGTGGTTCCCACGGTCCTGAGAGAGGAGGCTGATGGTTCCAGGTCCTTCTGCAAAACCTGGTCCCACAGACATAGGTCACTGCTGGCCGGGCCACCACCCATCTTCGGGCAGGAGTTTGGGTGGGAGCAGGGTTTGTGGGGACCCAGGTCCCTAGAGGACAGCCAGGGGGTGAGCAGGCACAGGACAGACACTTCTAACACTTGGTGCCAGGACTCACTGCCAAGACTGCCTGCTTCGAGCAGGATGTGTGCTCTGTGGCTCTGGCCACCCTGCTCAGACAGGGGTAAATTTCAGGAGCTGGTACCACTTTGAGCAGAAGTGGGTCCAGAGCCTTGGGGGAGGAACATGGGGAATCATTGCTTAACAGGGACAGAGTTTCAGTTTGGGACGATGAAAACATTTTGGAGACAGATGATGGGGCAGTTGCACAATCGTGACTGTACTTAATGCCACTGAACTGTACACTTAAGAATGGTTAAAATGGTAAATTTTGTTCTATGTATAATTTACCACAGTGAAAACAAATAAACTGGGAAGAAGTATATGATCTAGCGGAGATGAAGCTTCCGCTCTGATGCGGGCATCACACTTAGCCAGTCGCGCTGGGACAGCCTGTTCACACCACTTGTGAGAAAGCCTTAAGCCCACAGAGGGCTACCCTCCCGGTCCTAAGTGCCACCTGCTGAAGGATGAGCACCAGGCTAATCACAAGAAGCTCCAGGCAATCAAGGGACGCCACAGGGACATGAGGCTCAAGGGACCCCTGAGATGGACTGAAGAAAACCCAGAGTGGCCACAGTCCCCACCCGCCCCATTCTGGCCCTGACCTTCTGTCTGAATCAGTCAGAACTGACGCCCGGATTCAGGCAAGGATGGGCCAACTGGCCTTCCTTGTCTCCTTGAGCTCAGGGTACCGACACAATGCTTTCACTTACATGGAAGTTAAATATTTCCCACAATATCCTCCTCCATTGCTTTTCTGGTTTGGGACCCTAGGAACTTTTCCACTGGGAAATTGAAATGGAACAGGAACATAGAAAAGTTGCTGCTTGTGTGATTCACTTGGAATCACAAAGATGAAGCCGCGGAAGTCTCTCCTTCGCACCCTTGGGACAGGAAAGTCTGGGAAATTGTCAAATGCGTTCTGTGCACAGATATCCAGAAAGCAAAAGAGGAAAAGCAGCATGTCTTCCTTCTCGCCCTCCAGCCCCAGGCTGGGAGCGGGGAGGGGGCGCTGTATTAAAAGGCGGGAATTGAGCCCTACCCGTTAGAGCAGTCCTGCTGGCTGAGCAGTCCCACCACGGAGAGAGCTTCCTCGGACAACGCCTATGGGCTTAGGTGCTGAGCACTGGCAAAGCCCTCTGCTCCCTCCCTTCTCCCCTCCTGCCTCTGCTTCGAGCCCCCAGACATCATTTCCCAGCAACCTCCCCGGCACAGCTCAGGAGGTAGAACCCACAGGTCACTCGGGGTCTGTCCTTGGGCCCCCCACCCATGTTCTTGAACTTGAAGGGCGCCTAAGCCCTGAGCCAGCCTCCGGCAGAGAGATGGAGCCCGGCAGAGAGATGGAGCCCAGCAGGTGCACGTGGAGGAGACTCTCGTGAGCTGCAGGGAGGGGCGTCACCGCCGGGGCCCCTGAGAATTAGGGGGGTACTGACCCCTGCCCTCTCCACACAGGGGAAAGGTCTTCACCTCCCAAAGGAAGCACTGCTGGAGTGAGCTCTCCAGACTCCTATCTCCACCCTAATTCCTCCTCCCTCCACAGGAAGCAGAGAGGCGGGGTGAGTGCCAGTGAACTGCCAACACGGCCCCACGCCCTCCCCGGCTCGGGTCCGTGGGCAGGCCCGGGGGCCTGGACGGGCCCTGCCCCTTTCAGGCTCTGCTGTTCACAGCGTGCTCAGGCCCCCTCCCAAGGAGGGCAAGGTAGCGGGAAGCCCCGCAGGGGGCCCACGTCTAAGCTGTGGTCCCCAACGCAGCTTTCCTGCAACGAAGTCCACAGTCAGCTGTGACGAGCCCACGCCACCACGTGAGTGCTCGTTTACCAGGACCGCTAGAAGGAGGAATGTACTGTAGGATTCAAGCAATAAATTCCATGCTGAATAGCCATCTTGTTAATATATATATATATTCAAGAATTTCTTAAGTTAGGATGTTGACCAAATGATGTTTAAATATACCCGGATGCTCTGTCCACCAGGCTAGTAACGTTCCTGAAAGAAGAACTCGGGAAAGCCCCTTTGCAGTGGGCCCAGCCAGTTTCTGGAACATCTGATGGCTGCCACCAAATAGCCTTTTAGTGAAATAAGTGTAAATGAATCAGGAACTTGTGGATCACATTTTAGCGGAAACAAAGGAACCAAAATTTATAAAGAAAAGGTGGTTGGCAAACTCACTCTAGTTTGTTGAAACCAAACATTTGAAAAATAGTTTGATTGATTCTGCCAACTGAAAACTCGGCCAATCGTTTACTGTCCCGAAGTATTTACTAGCATTTTTCCAGACTGCACTTCCTGTCCATATTTCTAAATGTTCCTGGCCACTCTGCTGATAACTATTTGGAAGACTTCGCCCGAGCAGGGAGGGTTCGCCTCATTCTTTGAGAATCAGTCCAATGTCATACTGACTGGATGGCTTCACAGTTCACAGAATTCTTTCAAGAATATCACTTCACTTAATCCTTGCAGCCTTAACCTGGGATCACTCCATCTTATGCCCCCTTCTACAGATAAAGAAACTAAGGCTCGGAGAGGTTAAATGACTTTCTCAAGGCTATCTAGTCAGAAAAAAATGCAGAACAAGGAAAAATCCAGGTCCCCTGATCCCAAACCCACAGCACGGTTAACGAGCAGGCTGCACTCCCCGCCTGCTCTCACCACGCTCTTCCGAAGAGGGAAGCCGACGGGACACTTTGGGGAAGGACAGGTCAGCCGTCGCACGCAGGCCATGCTCCCCCAGGGCCAGGAAGAAGGACGCGGTCTCCGGACTGCTGAGGTGACCGACCTCGCCCACTGCCCACTGTCCTCCATCCCTGCTTCTGTCTACATCACTTCAGTCTCTCTACCTGGACCTTTAGTATACAGACAGGATGCTCATCATTCTGAAACTAACGTAATTAAAAAGGCTTCCGGTATGAGGATGGACTTGTGAAGAAGGCCAGCCAAACGGCCCGCTACGAATGGAGCAAATTGTGTTGTCAATGGAGACATCTTCCACTTTTTCATCAGTCGACCCACTGAGTTATCCCAGGTCTGTCCACAGAGTAAACGATACAGTGATTAGTCCATCTTTCACAACACCTCCCGACTTAGTGCTCAGGCATTTAATTAATGTCCTGTTTACACCCCACTTCCCAATCATTAATAAAGATGTTTAATAGAACTGAATGCAATGCCAGTCTGTCTGTATAACACCCTGCCGAGTGTCCCCCGCCCCAAGATGTGGCCCTGCCCCCCACCACCAGGCACACAATGCAAGGCTCTAAGACCCCCATAGTTTTCATATTTAAAACCCCCAGAATTTCCTACTCTGTGTCCTGACACCAGAAAGAATGTGACGTGCTGGGGACATCTGGGCACTGGACAGCCCACCCGCTGCTAAGAGTCATTTTGCCAGAGGGACCAAGCAGCAGACCTTTCTTTGAAGGGCAAGGGGCAGTCTGGAGTATCACCCCGGAGCTCCGACCCCATCTGCCCCACCTTCAAGAACTCCTACCATCTTCCTTTCTCCCCTCACCTGGTCCACAACCGCCTGGAACAGCTTCCCCGTCACCCTGCGCACCGCTGTCCTCCCCGAGCCCATTGGCTCTGACATCACTTGTGCCTGATGTCACTTGTGAACGTGCCCGTGTACCCAGCCAGCGGGGACAGCGGGGGCGGGGGAGAGCTCCGCCCACTGCTCAGGAGCAGAAATGACGCCTCCTGAAGTCACACACTGAGCCAGACTCACAGGCAGCTCCCGGAGAGACCGTGCCTGGGGGACGCCCTGAGAAATGTCGATAAATCCATCAAAATGACGACCAGCAGCCTCCAGCTCCTCCTGCCTCAAGTGCCGGTGTGTCGTCACCCCGCCAGGAACACGCAGAGGATGTCATCTTCAATGCATTGAAAGCAGCGCGCGGACTGCCCACCTGTCTGGAGACCAGGAGCCCCCCCGCTGGCCAGGAAAAGACAGCTGTGCCCCTACCCCTCATCAGGTCACCCCCTCTCGGCCCCCCGAGACCTGACCCCGCTGAGTTCCACTGACCTCCGAGAACAGGAAGAATTTTCCATCGATGTCCTCTTCGTATAGACTTTAGTCTCCCTGTGAAAAGAAGCATGGGAGATAAAAGAAAGAACATTTCCAGTGGAAGCTATTTTAAAGCCTTGATGTTTTGGCAAATACGAGGTTCCTCCCAGTCTCCGGTCGCTGAGGGGACAATCAACGCAGCCGCTTCCGCAGAGGGCCCCTTACCGCGAGCTTTCTAGCTGGGGAACCACAGGGACGCGAGTTTTTGCCCTTGACAGAGACCCGGTTACCACAAGGTTTATTTTAAAAGTAAATAGGCTGGAAATGAAGGAACGAGAACCCACAAGGGACAAAAAGAGGCAAGGTCCAAAAGACCGCAAGATCTCTGCACCCCAGGGGACAGACTGAAATTTAGACACAGCCTCTCAGCAGGGGCTTCCAAACTGGAAGTTCAAATAGGCAAAAGGCTTCCTCTTGGATGTTCTGAACTCAGAGAAACAGGAAGGTCACCAGGCCCCCAAGGAGATTAGATCCTAAAAGATCTCGCTCCTCCCGGACGCAGGCCTTCCGCGCAGGCCTGTGGCGCACAGCTCAGCTTGCGTTTCCCACGTGTTGGGAGGTCTCTCCTGCTGACGAGGGGTCTGTAGGCCCAGCGCCCAGGGGAGCCGCTCTGGGAACCTCAGCCTGCCAAATGGGTGAGCTGGAAGTCTTCCTTCTGAACTCAAAACAAAACAAAACGAAAACCAGGCCAAAGCAGGCTCCTGATTGGTGACTAGACTAATGCGATTTGATAAATTGCTTCCTGTCCCACTGGGCGAGGCCGCTACCAAATTTTAGATTTCAATTGTACGAGAAATTACTTCCGCAATTCAGTCAGCAAGAGCACCTATAACTGTTTTTTTTTTTAGTTTTATAAGAATGTGACAAAAATGAGAAGATTCATAGCTTCGTGGCAGCAGCATCTGAATACACAAGTTACAAGAAGCCTGGGTTAGAGAATTTTAGTGTGTGAGTGCAACCGCGTGTCTGCCGGGCTGCTCAGGGAGCCCAGGGTTCCCACATCGCTGCAGGTGGCTTGTGAAACCCCTAGCCTTTCCCCCTAAAGGAGCCGATGGCAAGGACCCTCTCCAGACGGCGCAGGCCCATCACCCAGGGCTCTCAGGAGAGCCCTGGCTTTGGATTCCTGTCTCGGAGCTGTTCTGAGGCTGAGTGTCCAGGATGGGGGACCTCCCAGGTCAAAGCCCAGGGCGGGTTTGCATCCATAGCCTCACAACGTGTGCACACCTGCCCTCTCCGGGAGTCCCTGCGGCTCCGTTAGGACTCAGGGTCGCACAGAAGCCTGAAGATGAGGCAGAATCCAGCATCCAACCATCACGCCTTTCCCCTAATTTAAGTGCTGCCACCAGACACTCACACCTGCGACCACACAGGCCGAGTGCCCGGGGCGGCCTTGTGTTTCTAGGAGCTGACAGCCAAGTTAGGAGGGAAAGAATAACGCAAAATAGTGACAGGTAACATTCATCCGTGTCAGGCACTACTCCGTGCTCTTACCTGGATTAATTCAACTACCCCTCCCCGCAGCCCTTTGAGACAGGGAACGTTGCCAGGCCCATTTTACAGATGAGGAACCTGAGGCCAGGGAGGACTGGGAGCTGCCAAAATTTGCCCAGCTGGTCAGAAACAGATCTGGGAGAGGCGCCGTGTCCCCAGCCTGCACACCCACTCTGAACAGTGGGCACAGATCGGTGACCAGGGTGTTCGACTTCTCTCTCTCCCTGGTGACTTTCTGGTTCATGTCTGATAGACGGGTCACACTAGCCCCCAAGGAGGACACCAAGCCCGGAAGGCTTCTCGGGCTCACAGAGAGCTGTGCATGCGAGAGAGGAGCACCCACCGCCACGCCCTGCCCTGGCCAGGGCGGGCCCTGAGACGCTGAGCTGTCCGGACTGCAGCGCCACCTCTCCTGCGCCGGCGGACGGGGCCTGCTCTGCTGAAGGCCGGGAGGGGAGCCGCCCCACGAGCCTGCTCAGCAAGTGGACGTCGCGGGGAGGTGCCTCGCTGCCCAGGCTGGGCTGCAGTCCGCACAGATGCCAGCGTTCCCGCATGTGTCCGTGCCTCCTGGCTCCTCCTGAACCTTCCCGCGCGTGAGCTCTTTCACGTCCTCTCCGAGTTGGTGGGAAATCAGGTAGAAGATTGTTTTCCTTCCATGGCTCAAAGCTTGAAAATTAAACAAACTCTGAGCTGATAAACTCGAATAACAAGACAAAAATGTTTAAGGCGGGCAATTCAGACTGAAAATGTGAAAGGATGTCACCATTTCTAGATTTGCAAAGTTTTTAAATTTGGAGGGGGCCATAGAGATGAGTAATCCGGCTTCTTCATTTTATAGACCAGGACACTGACGTCCAATGTTTAAAGAAATCCTAGCAGCTAGAAAGAAGCAAAACCAGTCTGAATTCAAGTCTTCTGCTGCAAATCCAAGGCTACTTCTAGTCAACCATGTGCTCTCAAAGGAGAGAGAACTGTTACCAGCCCAGGGCTCGTATTTGCTAAGTGATTGCTATTTTCTCTAAGGAATAAGATATTTATTAACATCTCTGTGTATGTTGAATGTTTATAAGCAGTTGTAATGTTCCCAGCAGCCTTTGGCATCATGAGGGGAACATAATTGTCAGGAGTGTGAAAATGCTACATATGTGATTTTACATGTTCATTTGTGTGATGACCCCAGTCAAGATGCACAACAACTCATCCCAGGATCCCTTGTGCTACACTTTTATGGAACTAAATACACACATGTGCACACACACAACTGTGTGCGTATAAGACTGGAGAGCTCTGAATAAGATCAATGGATTGTGTCAGCATCAGTTTCCCCGGAGAAATGCAGGTGTGTAAGATGTTACAAGTATGTAACGCCCGGGAAAAGGGGTGAGGGGTATACGTATCTCTCTGTATTATTTCTTACAACTGCATGAGAATCTCAGGATAAAAAGTTTTAAAATAGCCAAATCCGGGACACGGACGACATCAAGCGCTGGTGAGGGTGTGGAGCAACTGGAGCGCTCACACAACTGCTGGTGGGAAGGCAAAGGTGCAGCCACTTTGGACGGCAATTTGGTGGTTTCTTACAAAACTAAATACACTCTCAGCCTACAATCCAGAAATTACACTCCCTGGTATCTACTCAAAGGAGTTTGAAACATAGATCCACACAAGAACCTGCATATGAATGCTTATAGCAGCTTTATTCATAATTGCCAAAACTTAAAATATAATTGCAACCAAGATGTCCTTCAGTAGGTGAATGAATTTTAAAATACGATGTACCTCCAAACAATGCAATAGTGTGCAGTAATAAAAGGAAATGAGCTATCAAGCCATGAAAAGATGTGGAGGAATCTAAAATGCCTACCACTGAGTGCAAGAAGCCAATAAGAAAAGGCCACATGTTGGGTGATTCCAGCCATAGGGCATTCTGGAAAAGGCAAAACTGCGGAGATAGTGAAAGTATCAGTGGTCGCCAGGGGCTGGGGGAGGGGATGGGTAGGTGGAGCACAGAGGGTTTCAGAGCTGTGAAAACACTCTGGGTGATACCTTAGTGATGGATACATGTCAATGCACACTTGTCCAAGTGTAGGAGGCACAACACTGAGAGTGAGCCCTAGTGTAAGCTCTGGGCGCTGGCTGAGGGTGACGTGTCCATGGAGGGTCATCAGCTGTGACAAATGTACCATCTGGTGGGGGCGGGGATACTGGGGGAGGCTGCGCATGTGTGGGGCCAGGAGGTCTATGGGAAGTCTCTGTAACTTCTCAATTTTGCTGTGAATCTAAAACTCCTCTGAAAAATAAAGTCTTTTAAAGAAACATACGACTTAAGTCTCAGGATGGTAATGATCTGAAGTGATTTCGTATCAACCATCTCAGTTTACAAGCAGAAGGGCTCGCACCACGGGTAAGACGATTGTGATTCCTGTGAACTCGGGCCTGGGACGCCCCCCGTGAGCGCTGAAGGAGTGCAGGGCACGGACAGCTCCGGGGCAGCCCAGGGGACGGGGCAGGAGGCCAGGGAAGGCGGGCCTCCAGGGACAGGGACAAGCAGGAGTGAAGGAGGCCGAGCGACCTGGCAGTCAGAGATGCTGAGCGAGTGCAGGGCGGAAAGGAGCGGGGGCTCGGGCGACACGAGGAGGCTCGAGTGGCCGTGCGGCTCAGAAGCAGCGGCGAGAAAGCCTGGAGACCAGAGGGAAGAAAGGGGGACGAACACAAGGTTGTGAGTTTTAACCAGATTCTAACAGAAATAAAAATGAGGTACCCCCAACGCGTGGTGCGACTGTCTTCAAACCGCCACAAGCAGAGCCCTGATTTCCCAGAACATTTTCCAAGACGGCCTGCTCCACAGCGCAGATAACTCGGAGCTTCTCAGGCCGCAGGCGGGGGCACCTCCCTGACCCTCGGGCCAGGCCCCCGCCCAGCCTCGGGCGCCCTCACAGCTCAGGGAGTGAGGCCCGGGCGCCTCTGCTCAGCTCCCAGCAAGCGTTGGTGTGGAAGGTGTTTAAACCTGACAAATCTCAGCTCCCTTCTTTCCAAGGAAAGGGATGATAACCGCATCCTCAAAGGACCGAGCAGGCCCTCCAGGGCTGGGAAGTGCTGTGAGGCCCCTTGGCTAAACACAACCCAGGTTTCCAGCGGCTGAGCTGGGGGAAAGGGTCACGGGACAGAGGGGCCCACCGGGAGCTTAAGGTCATAAAGTATCCAAATGGTTAAGAGCATGAAACCTTGGTCTGCAGATTCCGAACTGATAGAAACAGAAGACGGCCTAGAGACGGCTGGCTCCACTGCTCCATTTCACAGATGAGAAAACTGAGGTCAAAACGAGGTCAGGGCACCTGAAAGAACAGGAACAGAAAAGGATCCAGTGGTCCCAGTCTCGTCAGTCATCAGGAGCTCAGGTCACTGTCTCCATTCACTTCCTCTTAGACTTAAACATGCGCCCAACAAGGGAAACCTTTTCACTCAGAACAAAATGAGAGAGACAGGAGTACATGACTCTGCCAATATGTCCATAATTTTATGCTTCCAAACATTATATAATTTGCTAAATATGTGGGACAGAGAACTGTTTTGTTAGGTGTAGATTTAACTTTATTCATATATATATTCTTTGTACTTCTACAAAAGGATTTGAAGCAGCAGTAAAAACTCAGATGCTTGGGTGAAAGTAATGAGAACAAGGTAAAATTAGAAACAAAAAATAAAAGAGAGGGGGAGGGCAACATATTGACTCTGCTGAAGACAACTTCAGCCACTGAGCACAGAATTTATTTCCAAGCTTCCTAGTGGGCCAGGCAAAAGGGGAAATTCTCATCATCCACTTCTGGTAGTGGAAAGTCACCTGTTTCTACGCTAACATAAATGATGTCTCCTAAATGAACTCAGCCAGTGCTTAGATGCCAAGAAATGGAATGTGACTACCAAACCGAGGACCTACTATGTGCCGGGCCCTGTAGGGTGACGTTGTCTCAGGGATATTTAATTAAGTCCTGACAACAGCAACGCCAGGAGATGAGAACACTGAGAACCCATGGTCCATAGTGGACCTCGGGCTTGAAATCCAGGCTCTCTGAGGGAGGTTTGAGAGAAATCACCACACTCACTGGCTCCTGGGGAAGGAAGGAAATTAAT